CCCCAAGCTCGGCCCCCCGCAGCCCTCGCACGGGAGGTGGCACCTCACCAGCTCCGGGGCTTCGGCAAAGCGCGTCGCTGCCGTCGGGCGACGCAACCCCGAGGGCTGCGCGTCCCTGCCTGACCGCGCCGGGCTCCCAGCGAGCCCCGCTGCACGCACAACGCTGGCACGGCCACGCGACGCTGGTGCCCATGCAACGCTGGTGCCCGTGCGATGCTGGCACCCATGCAACAGGTCTGTGCAACGCTGGCACCCACGTAACACTGGTACCCATGCAACGCTGGTGCCCATGCAACGCTGGTGCCCATGCAACACTTCTGTGCCATGCTGGCATCCATGCAACGCGGTGCTGATGCAACATGGGTGCCCGTGCAACGCTGGCACCCATGCAACGCTGGCTCCTACACAAAGCTGGCACCCATGCAGTGCTGGCACCTGTGCAAGACGTCTGTGCAACGCCAGCACCCACGCAGCGCCGGTGCCCGTGCAACACGCCTGTGCCGTGCTGGTACCGCTGCGTAGCTGGCACCTGCGAAACTCTGTCGCCCATACAACGTGTGCCCTCAAACCGCTGGTGCCCCTGCAATGCCAGCACCCACTCAGGGCTGGTTCCCGTGCAACACTGGTGCCCATGCAACGACGTCACCCACGCGATGCCATCACCTCTGCAATGCCATCACCCATGCAATGCCATCCCCCATGGAAAGCCATCCCCCATGCGATGCTGTCACCCACGCGATGCCATCACCTCTGCAATGCCACCCCCCCATGCAATGCCATCACCTCTGTAATGCTGGTGCCCATGCAATGCCATCCCCCATGGAGAGCCATCCCCCATGCAACGTGGTCACCCACGCGATGCCATCACCTCTGCAATGCCACCCCCCTCCATGCAACGCCGGTGCCCCCCCCGTGCCCCCCCCCACCCGAGGGAGCCACTCACTGCTCATCTCCCCCAGCGATATGCGGGAGCTCTTTATGCCAGGGTCCTCGTAGCCTTCAGGGTCCAGGTATCTCCAACAGCTTGTGGGTGGTGTGGAGTCCATAGCTCCTATGCCATAGACCCAATGGGCACAGCACGGAGCGGGTATCTCCAACAGCTTGTGGGTGGTGTGGAGTCCATAGCTCCTATGCCATAGACCCAATGGGCACAGCACGGAGCGGGTATCTCCAACAGCTTGTGGGTGGTGTGGAGTCCATAGCTCCTATGCCATAGACCCAATGGGCACAGCACGGAGCGGGTATCTCCAACAGCTTGTGGGTGGTGTGGAGTCCATAGCTCCTATGCCATAGACCCAATGGGCACAGCACGGAGCGGGTATCTCCAACAGCTTGTGGGTGGTGTGGAGTCCATAGCTCCTATGCCATAGACCCAATGGGCACAGCACGGAGCGGGTATCTCCAACAGCTTGTGGGTGGTGTGGAGTCCATAGCTCCTATGCCATAGACCCAATGGGCACAGCACGGAGCGGGTATCTCCAACAGCTTGTGGGTGGTGTGGAGTCCATAGCTCCTATGCCATAGACCCAATGGGCACAGCACGGAGCGGGTATCTCCAACAGCTTGTGGGTGGTGTGGAGTCCATAGCTCCTATGCCATAGACCCAATGGGCACAGCACGGAGCGGGTATCTCCAACAGCTTGTGGGTGGTGTGGAGTCCATAGCTCCTATGCCATAGACCCAATGGGCACAGCACGGAGCGGGTATCTCCAACAGCTTGTGGGTGGTGTGGAGTCCATAGCTCCTATGCCATAGACCCAATGGGCACAGCACGGAGCGGGTATCTCCAACAGCTTGTGGGTGGTGTGGAGTCCATAGCTCCTATGCCATAGACCCAATGGGCACAGCACGGAGCGGGTATCTCCAACAGCTTGTGGGTGGTGTGGAGTCCATAGCTCCTATGCCATAGACCCAATGGGCACAGCACGGAGCGGGTATCTCCAACAGCTTGTGGGTGGTGTGGAGTCCATAGCTCCTATGCCATAGACCCAATGGGCACAGCACGGAGCGGGTATCTCCAACAGCTTGTGGGTGGTGTGGAGTCCATAGCTCCTATGCCATAGACCCAATGGGCACAGCACGGAGCGGGTATCTCCAACAGCTTGTGGGTGGTGTGGAGTCCATAGCTCCTATGCCATAGACCCAATGGGCACAGCACGGAGCGGGTATCTCCAACAGCTTGTGGGTGGTGTGGAGTCCATAGCTCCTATGCCATAGACCCAATGGGCACAGCACGGAGCGGGTATCTCCAACAGCTTGTGGGTGGTGTGGAGTCCATAGCTCCTATGCCATAGACCCAATGGGCACAGCACGGAGCGGGTATCTCCAACAGCTTGTGGGTGGTGTGGAGTCCATAGCTCCTATGCCATAGACCCAATGGGCACAGCACGGAGCGGGTATCTCCAACAGCTTGTGGGTGGTGTGGAGTCCATAGCTCCTATGCCATAGACCCAATGGGCACAGCACGGAGCGGGTATCTCCAACAGCTTGTGGGTGGTGTGGAGTCCATAGCTCCTATGCCATAGACCCAATGGGCACAGCACGGAGCGGGTATCTCCAACAGCTTGTGGGTGGTGTGGAGTCCATAGCTCCTATGCCATAGACCCAATGGGCACAGCACGGAGCGGGTATCTCCAACAGCTTGTGGGTGGTGTGGAGTCCATAGCTCCTATGCCATAGACCCAATGGGCACAGCACGGAGCGGGTATCTCCAACAGCTTGTGGGTGGTGTGGAGTCCATAGCTCCTATGCCATAGACCCAATGGGCACAGCACGGAGCCCGCATCTCCAACAGCTTGTGGGTGGTGTGGAGCCCATAGCTCCTGCACCATAGACCCAACGGACACAGCACGGAGCCCGTATCTCCAACAGCTTGTGGGTGGTGTGGACCCCATAGCTCCTGTGCCATAGACCCAACGGGCACAGCATGGAGCCGGTATCTCCAACAGCTTGTGGGTGGTGTGGAGCCCATAGCTCCTGCACCATAGACCCAACGGACACAGCATGGAGCCCGCATCTCCAACAGCTTGTGGGTGGTGTGGAGTCCATACATCCCACACCATGCACCCAACGGACACAGCATAGAGCCTGCAGCTCCAACATCTCCTACGTGGTGTGGAGTCCATATGTCCCACACCATGCACCCCATGGGCACAGCACAGAGGCTGTAGCTCCAACATCTTGTGCGTGGTGTGGAGTCCGTACCTCCCACACCATGCACCCAACAGGTACAGCATAGAGCCCATACCTCCCTCGTGTTGTGCATGGTATGGAGTCCATACATCCCACACCATACACCCCACGGGCACAGTACGGAGCCCTTACCTCCCTCATGCTGTGTGTGGTGTGGAGTCCATATGTCCCACACCATACACCCTGTGGGCACAGCACAGAGCCCGTAGCTCCTACACCACACAGCCAACGTGCTCAGGTACAGAGCCCATACGTCCCACGCCACGCGGCTAGCACGACTCAGGGCTGGACTCGTGCCTCCCACACCGTATATCCAGCCCGGCTCAGTATAGAGCCCACACCTCCCCAAGCACAGCTTGCACGCACGCAGCGTGGAGCCCATACCTCCCACGCCATCCTCGCAGCGTGGCTGGGATCCCTCACGCCATGGGTACCCACCATGGCTCAGTATGGATCCCATACATCCCACACCGTCCTCGCAGCGTGGCTTGGTGCAGGACCTCCCTCCCACCGCAGGTGCTCAGTATGGATCCCATACATCCCACGCCACCCCCGCAGCGTGGCTGGGATCCCTCACGCCATGGGTACCCATCATGGCTCAGTATGGATCCCATACATCCCACATCATCCATGCAGCGTGGCTCAGCTCCCCCCCAGAGCGGGTGCCACCGTGGCTCAGCACGCAGCCCATACCCCCCTGCTCCCACAGCATCTCCCACAGACCCCACCCCACGCCGGGGGCACCCCGGGGTGCT